CAACAGGGGGGGGCTGTTTGCCTATGTTCACTGAGAGGCGGTGTAGAGTTTCAGCATAACCCCTGTCGCAAGAGTATGACTTTCGACGCCCTGATGCAGCACTTTATGAGAAACTGTCATACAACCACAATCAATACAGCCACTTAGCCTCTGGAGTAGTTTGGAGGATCTTTGTCACTCAACACGATTTTGATCTAAAGCGATGTACGTAACCCGAGAATGCATTATGCAAAGAGCAAGCCAAATCAACTCTGAGCGAGTGACATCTCTGGGCTCACACTCTTCTCAGGTAAACAGAAATAGAGCAGAAATGTCTATGACCAGAAGGGTCAGGTTTTCAGTTTACATTTGAGAAAAAGTGTGTGCTCTTAAATGTGCAGAGAAGAGGACTAAAAGTGTCAACAATTTGGTTTTGTCCTTCATACATGCAGTTTTCAAACTAAATTTTTAAAGGATAGTAGATATATTATACAGTGTTTTCCAAAATAACTAATACCTCTTAAACCTATTCACATTGTATTACATTGCAAAAAAGCATTGCAATGTAATACAAAATCATTGGATTTTACAAAACAGAATAACACAAAGCATAATTTACTGTAAAGTGGAGGAGAGAAATAGTGCATTGTTTTCTACATTTCACAAAACGAGGTCTCACAAAGTTAGAAATTCAAAGGGTTCTGGTTTTACTCTTCCGGTGTGTGGGAGAGGGCTGACAATCTCATAATATGAAGTCAGTGCTTGAAGTATTGAGGAAATTATTTAAAAACTGATTAAAAAGTTTTTGATAACCCTTTTGAAGCAAGGTCAGTTTATTGGTCACATTGGTCATAGTTTCAAGTGTTGCTGGAGAGAGGAGACGTTATAGTACCAAATCTCTTGCTAGCTGTATGCAACTTAATGTCACTGTAGGCTCCTCTGTTCATTGAAGGCCTTAGAGGTTTGCTAGAGAACCTTAGCAGACAAGCAGCATCATGAATACCAAATATCACATCAGTATTCAAGCTTTGATCATTGCACTGAGCACTGCTCAATCCGTCATATGAAAATGGAAAGAGTCTGACACAAGTACAAACCTACAACAGAAGTAGGCAAGAGGCCCATGAAACTCTGGAAGAGCTTCAGAGAGCCACAGCTTAGAGGCGAGACTCTACTGACAGCTATTTGTCATGCACTTCACAAATCTGGGCTTCACGGAAGAGTTACAAGAAGAAAGCTGTTTCTCGGAGACACCTGTCAGACATTTTGTTTGCATTGTGAAACGGCAAATGTGAAGGAAAATAATATGCTGAGATAAGATGGTTTTTGGTATACATGTGGATGAAAAGCAACACTGCGCATTCCCCTAACAGGAAATTTTGCATCTTGTTCCTTTAGCGGGAACAAGATGCTGGTAGGAGTTAATTGGAAGACAGATGGAGCTCTATGCAATTTGACCCTGGAAAAAAACCAGACTCCACGAGAGGTTCACCTGCCAGCAGGACACTGGTCCTAAACCAAAAGCCATGATTCCATACCAACACGTTGAGCTAGAATGACAAAGTCAAAGGCCACAACTAAGTCTAATTTGGCAATAATTGAGTAGAAAATGTGACTCACTCTAAATCCAATCTGAGCTCGAGGTACTTTGCAAAGAGGAATGGAAAGAAATTTCAGTCTCCAGATGTTCCAAACTGTTCACTTCTTTGTCAAACGACTTGCAAGTGTAACTGGAGTGATAAGTGGTTTTACAAAGCATTGAACGACTCCGGGGGTCTGTTGTGGGTGCTGCACTTTTCAATTTGTTTTTGCTTGCAATAATATTTTCAACCATGTATCCTTTCTTTTCCCTTCAACTGCGTGGTTATGTTCGACTTTGTGTTAGACTGATGCACACAATCTCAATAAAACACCTTGGAGTTGGAGGTTGCGGTGTGAATGAATAGGTGTAAAAGGCACTGGATCTTTTATGCTTCTAGGTGAGACATTTTGATTATGTATGGCTTTTTAAATTAATTCCTCTATAATTCATTTTAAGTTATTAATTTAAATTCCCTCTGTTTTGAAAGACTTCAACAAACTTGCCCTTGCCCTGCCTTGCTGATAGCTTATTGCATAGATAAAAGGAAAAAAAGAAAAAAAGCGGAAAGCAGTGGTGGGAGCAGCAGACAGTTGGAGGTGCCTGAAATTCCTCCATTACAAAAACAATAATGTTCATACTTTTACCTACCTCGTTAAGAAAAACAAAGCTGCTTCCATTCTGCGGGGAAAATACTGTGCAGATCAATTGGCATAAGGCCATGAAATGCATGAAATTCAATTCAAACAAAACTGTGGGTTCTTGTAGGGAAAAAGTCAATATGTTTGTGGTGGATAGCTAAAAGGTTCCCATTGGTTTGTTAATCTATAGACTATAATTGACGTGTGTTGTTGGAGTGTTGTTCTTTTCTTTTTTTTTTTCGGCCACTCACCTCATGCTGCTTTTAATAAATTGTCATTTAAAATCCATATCCTTTCCCTCCATACACATATCTGGAAGCTATCAAAATTGCTACTTTCTATAAATGGCAACCAACTCTCAATCTGGGAATATAGATCAAAAGTAAAAAAAAAAAAAAAAAAAAAAAACAAAAAAAAAACCCACAAAGGTGCACCGAAGAAAAATGACGGGAGAAAAGCGATAAATTTAGCAACGAATCCGAACAAGTGTAGAGGAAAGTTGTACAGGTTAATAACAAGGATAAATCACATTTTTCTTGTCGCTTGAGGCTGCGGCTTGTCGATCTTCCTTTGTCGTTAGTCATCTCCTCTGAAAGAGCTGGCAAAAATACAAAAACTTGAAAAGAGGAGATGAAAATCTGTGGCAGCAATTCTGACCTTGCTTTTCTCAAAATCGTATAAAAGCAGTGATTTGAAATTAAAAGGAGATGGAACAAAGTGCTCCTGTCTATAAATCATACATTTATAGTCTAGCATTTTTTATTTATTTTTTGTTCAAAACAAACAGCAGTATAAAAATGGGTCTTGGTAACGAATACATTGCACTGGGAATGTTTTTGTCAAATTAAAAAAAGAAGGAAAATCATATATATCACTGTTGTTAATGGGAAACTATCAGTTTGTGAAGACATTTTGAGTTGTATGATTATTTTTTTTGCACAGTTTTGTCATGACATTCCATATTTAGATGTAAACTAAGTTCTCAACTCATCTATTCATTTTTCATGTTGAAGGATTTACAGGTAGCAAATTTCACAGCTCACTGTTGCAAAGATTGTGTTTCCAGCAGAAGCTGGTTGGAAACACAATAGCCTCAGGGGGAGAACAAGCTCTTCTCTAGGGTGAGCTGAAGTTAATTATTATTTGCAGTGTCTTAATTTTCAAAAGCTTTTTTTTATGCAAAGTTTTTATTTCACACAATAATAACAAAGAAAAGAAATAGACAATGATACTTTTTCTTTTAAAGGGAGATTTGTGTTGAAAGAATATCATACTTTTATTCACAGGAGATCTTATACAGAGCATACAGTTGCTAGCTCTCCAAATAAAGACGAGAAAAAACTTAAAACAATCGACAGCCGGCCAGAACAAAATAATCCTTCCTGTGATCAAGATAACAGTCAATTTGGGATTTATTTGCTCTAAAATAACACATAACCTTTTGTTAGTTTGTCTTACTATCTCACCACTAACAAGGTTTATGCACTTTAGAAGTATTTCTTAAATTCATGCTTACAGTTTCTAGGGCCTCCTGGCTAGTAAAGTCTATGTTTCTGTTTCTCTTGTGTTTAAATATTAAATTTGCACTAAGGAAAAGTTCTTTAATTATCGCTTTAAAATGGAAAATACAAGTGAAATGTGCCATAAAAATAAAAACATTTCTAAAAAAAAAAAAAAAGGAAAAAAAAAGGAAATATGAATCAAAAGGCTTTGAGGAGGAACAAAGTTCATTCTATTGACAAGCATGAAATGCTATTCATTGGAATAATATTTAGCAAATGTTACTCATTTACTAAATGTTACTAATATAGTAACATTTAGAGAAAGTCTATATCAGTGCTAAATAGTTATTTGCCAGACATCAATCCACTATCTACACCCGCTTATCGTTGCAGAAACAAGTGGGCAGCCAGGTTTCTATCTCCAGCGGTCATTAGTCGAGAGGCGAGGTGAATCCTTGACAGGTCACCAATCCATCACAGGGCAACACAGAGACAAACAATGATGCATGCACACACTAATACCCAAGGACATTTGAAGAGGTCATTTGACCTAACAGCCATGTGTCTGGACTGTGGGAGAAGTACCCAGAGTACCCAGAGACAACCCACGCACACAAAGGGAGAACATGCAAACTCCACACAGAAAAACCTCAGGCTGGTATTTGAATCAACTGTATTTTTTTTTGTAAAGCTGAGTTCAGTTCAACTGGTCACATTCAGATGGCATAACTAGCTAACTTGGACAATCGCCTTAACAGAACTTGCCTGACAATGTGGTTGGGAGATCTAAGGGATGTAAAAACACAGCACAGCATGCCCCATAGAACAGATAACAAACAAAACCAACTCGGGAAACAAAAAACATCCATTCTTAACTGTTCGAGACTCCAGTTAACAAAAGTGAGAGCTACAACATGCAAATGAAGAAACCACGGAGCATGAGCGTATCAACACCTCAGATGTCACAAAAGAACTGAGAACGACATCGAAAGCAATACGGGCGTCACTTTCCTCAGTTAAGGTCAGAGTACATGATTCAACCACAAGAAACAGACTGAATAAAACGGGTATCCTAAAGTAAGTTCAAAGGCAAAAAGCACTGTTGATCAAAAAGAACGTAAAGGCTGGACTTACGTTTTCCAAAAATAATTTGTGGACACGAATGAGACGGAACTGGAAGTTTCTGAAGGAAATCTGTTCCATTTTTTTTAGGTGAAAAACTAAAAAAAAAAAAAAATCATACCTGGTGGGGATAGCATTGGCTGTGCTGTTATTTCCCTTGATGAGCTCCAATGATTGATGTTCATTTTTTTTATTTTTAAAGAGAAGAATCTAAAGGAGAATATTAAACCATCAATGTTTAGCCCAACTCCTTTGGGTTGTGAAACAGGATAACGATCCAAAGAACACCAGAAAGTCTAACTGGTAAAAAAAAAAAGGACATTTTGGAGTGGTCTAGTCAAAGTGTTATCAACAAAAATATTAATACAATTATATATAAATATAAAAGAAAGCTAAGTAAACACATACATCTTAGCCTAAAAGTCTCACTAAACTGCCCTGCATAGAAATATAATCAGCAGGACCAGCAAATTAACAGAGAAAAAAAATATTGAAACAAGCTGTATACGTGTGTTTCAAGAAAACCTTTTTAAGACAAAAACAGATTTCATAAGTACTGTTCAGTTTACATGACAATCTAACAAGAAGAAGAAAGGAAGGACTGCCTGACTTTGACACAGTGATGTTGGATTTGTGAAATTAAATTAAAAACAGGCTGTGCACAGAGTGCCAGTTCTTCTCAAAGCTACCACTTCACTTCATGAATGTCAATGTGTTGGGAGGTTATTTATAGTCAAAGACTGAATGCAGGAGTCTATCCCTCCGTCTGATAATGCCCCTCTGTTTGTCTTGATGTGCCGATGGAGAGACGTTGGCACTCACAGCCACAGAAAGAACTCCACCATGATGGCCAACACCCGGGACAATGAAAGTAAGAAGGGAAGGGAAGGAAGAAGAGAAAAAGCTGCACACGACGAATGTGCTTACAGGGAACGCCTGTAGCACAGATTCACAAATTTATGAGGGAAACACTGTGTGTAGTAATTTAGAGTGTAGGCCCTGCCCCTTCAATGATGCCAGCTCAGTGGACACACAGCATGCAGGAGTCATCACTGGCTGCCATGGGTAATTACCATAATGAATGTAAAACTCCCAACGTGCAGACCCCAGCGTAGAAAAAAAACAAAAAAACAAACAAAAATAGCCTGCTGCAATGTGCCACTTCGCGTGACGGCCGACATCTTAAAATAAACTTAAGGCAAGGCAGTATCTGACGGCGGATGATCGCTTCGCCACATATTTTGTCGTGTGATTTGAGCTGCCTCAAATTCGCTGATTTGTTTTTCTCAAGCGTTGGAAGTATTGTGCCCGTGCCCCTGTACGGCATGCACAGCGGCTGCCCTCCGACTGCTTCAAAGTTTAAATAATCACCCACGACGCTGAGCAATGCTCGCTCGAAATTGCAGTTGCTGTGATGGCCTGGCTGCGTTGATGTCGACGAACGTTGTCTCTCTTCTGTGGGTCACAACCCAGAGGACCTTCTGTAAAATAAATAAATAAATAAATAAAATACTGGGCATCAAAGTGAAGACTTGAACAGGACGCTCTGCTTGGTCAGCCTTAAAAAAAAAATAAATAAATAAATAAATAAATAAATAAATAAATAAATAAATAAATAAATAAATAAATAAAAACTGCTTGTTATTGCACTGCAAGTAAAAGCTGCACACTCCAGTAGCCCCACAGCTACATAAGCAATTGTTTTGTAAAACAGTCAGCTGGCCTACATGGACAATACTTTGCTCACTTATTTCCTGCTGCTGATCTTCTATGCAAATCCAGAAACCCCACTATCTGTAAAAAAAACAACAACATATCTGTCAGTTATGAATGATAGGAGATTATGCTTTTGTAAACAGGATCAAGAAAGACTAAAGCTTAAGTTAACTAAAGCTTATTTTCCAATCTTAAAAGCAAGATTGGAAAATAAGGGGAACTAAGAGAGTTCTAAGGTATTTATTGTTCCTTCTACCACGACTGTGCTCGGCATGCAAGAGATATTATAATTGATTTAGTGTCAGAGTAATTTATGGTTTGCACTGGCTGCAACCCTTATTTTTGCTTAAATAAACTGCTTTCTGGATTTATTAAATAAGTGACACTATGACAAGCACATTTTTCTTCAAGCCATATGCCTTGATTAGTAAATGTGTCCCCCACAACTTTCTGCGAAACAAAGGGTGCCTGCGGACCAATTGTTAGAGTTTAACCAATCAAAGCTTTATCCAATATGTAATTTACTGCTTTGACTGTGTGGCAATGGCTTTTTGCTTTTTATATATTTATATACCTCTACAGTTTTGGTCTCCTTATACATCAAAGTTTATGGGTGATAATGAACCATATTTTACTGCATGTTTCATAGCAGCAGTGTAATGTTTTGTAACATCCTTGCTGATCTGCACCGGCTTCAAGAACAAATCATTTAAGGTGATTTAACAATTAACTGAATGTGAGTGGGTCAGCAGCAGGAGGTCACTTACTCCTCTTTTGTTGTGGTCAAGTGCAGATTTAGGCTGATAGAATAAAAAAAAAGATGTTGAGAAGATAGTATAATGCATTTTACATGACATTTGAGCATTTTTGGGGGGGTATTAACTAATTCGCTCATTAACATAATATGCTAATCAGCATATGGATTATGCCATTGCCTGACATCTGTTTTATTCTTTCCTGTTGTCTTGTTTCACATTCATTTTGATTCATGACCAATAAAACTACAAAACAGAAACTCTTCTTCACATAAATTTCATTTATGCTGTACATAATTTCGGTCATATTGTTGTCAACTCTCATTGAGATTCTTCTTTTTTTTTAAATCTTGCAAAGTTTTCATCTCATTCAGAATAAAACACCTCTGTTGTTTTCTCAGTTATTTACAACATGGTCAGACAAAAGCTCAAAAGACACGAAAGCCTAAATGTACAATATTAGCACCTAACAAAAGCTGAACTGCTTCTCTTCCATCCACAAACACCCCGAGACACTCGGCATACACTCAGTGCACACTTTCGAAGGACATACTGCAGCAACACTTTTTCTTCCATACAGCACAACTGCCAGTTAGCTTAATATGTAGTAGTTATGTTGATCCTTGAGCACAAGGCTACATGCTAATGATTAAAATTGCCAATGAAGATTTAACAAAAAATTAAGACGTCCTGTGTGAAAATGGTTATGATTGATGTGCGAATCCACGCTTAAAATAAAAGTGCTATTTGAATTGCTTTTATTAAAGTGCAGAGATGCTCTTAAAGTGCTGCGCCAGTTCATTAAATATGCATTCTAGCACCTCTTCATTAGAAGCTTTGCCTAACACAACGGGATTCAGTCCCACTTAATGACCTAAATCCATTTTTTTTTTTGCTTTAATTTTTTAACGTGACCGCACCAACTTGTTAAAAGTGAGACGTTGAGTGGAGCTCTGTCAAAATGTGTGAAAGTGCAAAAGACTTTTCCTCCACCTTATGAAGCAGATGGGAGCATAAAGGCACAGGATGCACATTTGTGTTGTTTTATGGTTTGCCTGTGTTATTTTCTGTGTACCGTGGATGCTTTCCATAAACTACAGCTGAGCCACCTGCTGTGTTGGGGTGGGGGAAGGAGAAGGCAAGGTTGACAATGAGATTTACCACCTTCATTCATCTGCTTCATTACTGTCTTCGGCATACTGGTGGAAAAGGCCCATCCACAATCCTCCAGATTCTACTTATGTAAGCAAGCTGGTAATTTATTACAATTAATAAGATGCTTCCCAGCAGTTGGGCTTTGTGGTTACTGCTGTTTGCGTTTTTAAGGAGTTATAAACTTCTCCCTGTGAAGAAAAAAATCACAAAGAAAAACCAATGAAGAAGCCCCCAGAGAGGACGGCTTACAATAACACCATATATATCTCATAGCATACTTATATATATATATATGCCTTGCAACTTTTTTAGTTACTATTTTTACATAAGAATGGTTCATCATATGTTATGTTACACACGGCAGCAGTCATAAGCAAATCGCAGAGAACAAAAACAGCATTACAGAAGCGTAAGCTGTGTAGAACGTGTTCATTGTCTGTGTGCAACACCACACCGATGTGTAAGTGTACCTTCATAAATGTCAAGTAAGCGCTGCTTCATTTAATGGTTAAAACATACTGCCTCTATCAAGGAATCATCAGAAATTTATGATTAAACCACCTCCTTCAATTGGAGCGAGACGCCTCTCAGCTTGGTGCCACTGATTTGCCATCTTTCCCCAAACGCAACGACTGAGTCATTGACCATCTGACTGACTGATTGGGGGGGAAAAAAAAAAAGAAAAAAAAAAGTTGTGCTCTCAAGCAAATATCCCACTGCACACAAGGAAAAAAAAGACACATAGATAATAACGAATTTCACACTCCATCTTCCATTGAGCTAAATTAGGCTCCATCACAGCTGAGTAAGTATGATGGGAAAGGACATTGAAAGGCTTTCTTGTAATCACGCATGTCGGAAGAGATTTCTCTCGGGCAGAAAATATGGAATTAAGACGAGGAGTGAAGAGCAGACAAACGAGGTAGGAGGCAGAACTTGATGGATTCAGGCAGGGGGATGCCTGACTGCTAATTGAGGGAAGGTACCTGCATTGTGGCTGACGGCGTGTCTCCGGATAAAATAGAGGACGATTCAGGTTTCTTAAACCTGCGCGGAAGATCTTGTGATAGAGTGTAATGTAGGCAAATGGGATGAGACGATTTAGGCTCAAAGATTCAGAGGACTCAGCTCCTTTGGGGAGCTTGCAGTCGCTGGAGTGTGAAAAGTTATATGAACTTGGGTATTATGAGCTCAGACAAGTCAAACTAAATGTACCTAATGTTCCATCATGGAAAGTAGAGACATCAAAGCCAACATTGGAGGTAAAGTTTGACAAGGAGTCCAGTTTCATCCTGTCAGCATAAGGGGCAGTGAGCAATGAATACATCGCTGGCTCCTTTTATGAGTGTGCAGTGGTTTTGTGTTGTTGTGTGAAGGGTATGTAGACGATGCATGGATCTTCTATATGCATCCAATTTTTTTCATGGCACTTTTATGTTTAGACCAGGGTTTCAGAATCTATACTTCTTCTCACCATCATTAAAACAACTGCATTCGTACGTTTGTAGATGTATGAATAACATGGTAAAAATACGACTTTGAAAAATGAATGGGTAACTTTACAAACAGCATCCAATCAGAAACAGCCTTTAATGATCCACAATGGGGGAATTCAGGCCTGATGGCAGCATCAGACTATAGGTTCACACATGAAGTTCTTAAAGTGCTGAAACAAAATAAATAATAATAATAATTATAATAACAATAATAGTTGTTGGAACTAGGAATATCAAATTCACAATCCAAGGGAAATGCAACTGAGTCTTATTAGTTTTTCAAGATTATACATAAAGTAGATGTGTAAAAACAGACTATTTACAATACAGTATATCAGTGCAGAAAAACAGATGTGCAATGACATTTTTACTCATGTTTAATAATGAGTAAGAACAGAGTAGATGAATGTGCAAATGGCAGCAGATATTGAAACTTTCTCTCTCTCTTTGTTGACCAGCAATGGTATTAAAATCTAAGTGCTGTTGGGACGATGGATCTACGTTAACGCTCCTTTGTGCGTTTAGGATGCAGCAGTCTGTCACAGAAAGAACTCTCCAGTTCAGCAACAGTTTTATGCTTGAGGTATCGTCCAAACGTGACGTTATTTTAGCCGGAGTCTGTCTACCTCCCACCACCTGCACTGGCTCTGGGGGGCAGGGGGGCCGTCCTCGTAGAGAGCCGCTTCGATTAGCCTTCTGAGCTAATTGAACTGCTTCCTCTCAGCTGTAGATGTGCTGCAGCTCCAACATTTTCTCACATGTCCATTAGCTGCTTATATTGGTTCCTTTCCTATTATGCACATGTTATTTTCATCATTTCTCTTGGAAAAACAGCATTCAGCCTGCATTATTTGCTTCTTTTTACCCCTTAATGCGGCCTCATCAGTCTTATTGAAGCCGTCAAAGTGAATAAAATATAAAGCATTCTGAGCCGTGTGGGTGTGATTAAATTGGTCTGCGACAGCGACAATTACAAGATGCATCTGAGTAGCTGAGCAAAACCTAGTTACTTCCATCAAATAAAACGTCTTGTAATGTCTTCACAAATCACAAATCCTTCATCATACTTTATCTAGTTTGTGGCACCAAAGGAAATGAAATTGACCCACATACCACATTTCATGTAAATGTCACAGTTTTAAACCAAAGCTGACTAAGGTTTATAATCTTTTTAAAGAAATTTCCAGCTTTCTATGTTCCACGGCTCCTCGGTGGTCCATATCTGTGTTAAATTATTTGACATGTACACCAGGATCAAAAGCCCTAATGTTTCCTATGCGGCCCTGTGTGTTATGCAAATTGAGGTGTTTTAATGAAGGTTGCATGAATAATTCAGGAACAATGTTTCACAGCAGACACACCGCAGGAACACACTCAAAGAAGAAGAAAATAAAGAATTACTTTAGAAAAATAGGAACTGGTGTTAAGAGTGTCTTTCTTTTCTCTTTGATATACAGAGCTGCTCATCGCTTGCTAATTAACAAACGGCAACAAAGAGAAAAAAGTGTTTTTAATTAGCATGTGAAGCACAGGAAGTGCACTAGTTCTGTCCGCTCAGCTTGTCTTATGCTGCTACTTATTATTTTAACTTTGAAAGGAAACAAATATCAGAATATGTTTCTACTTGGGCTGCATGCGTGTGCGTGTGCGTGTGTGTGTGTGTGCGTGTGTGTGTTGAGGGTGGCAATAATTAGCAATGCTGGCTTCCTGCAAAAAGTTGCTGGTTTAAATCCCCTCTCAGTCAAATGTCCAACCCTTTAAAAACACTAGAAGAGACTTCTGGTCTTTCCTATCAGTTGACCATAAAAACAATGTCACTACTACTTGTTTATGTCAGTGACGTGATTATATAAATAAATAAGCAAGAATAAAAACAGTGAGAGTTCTATTTGCACTAGTAGTTAATGTAAGCATTGCAAAATTACATAAAAGCAGTAATATGCCACTAAGATGAAGGGCATTTTCTGTTTTTCCCCTGAATTAAAAAAATCTTATATGTGTGTAGAACGGAGCAATTAGTTACTATTTTTTTTTTTTTTTTTTTTTGCCAACAGGATTATCTTAGATTAAATGCAAAATAAATAAACATCCAAGTGTTAACCACTAATATGGGCCCCCAGATAGGAAGGAAACAGTTTTAAGCCTGTCGTGTGAAAAGAAACGTGTTCACAGAATCTTATCTGGCAGGTCAACAAAACAAATTTACAAAAGCACTAAACATTCCTCCACCCTATTAAAATTGTTTGCAGCATTTTTGGGAGGAATAAAATAATCGTGACATGACAACAGATGAGATACAAACACTTTGTAAATCCCATTGAAATACCACCACTGTTCCCTGCTGATGGTGTTTAAGTTGGCATTTGTTTTGAGGATTGCTAATGGTGCCTAGATGAAGGGCTGCTTTATGGTTTCCAATCCTTCTTGATTGCAATTGATCATATTTTAGTGTGAAAATAGATTATAAAACAGTGTCTCAAACCTTTATTCTGTTTGGAAACGTTAAATAAAGCACTTTTAAAATATGGTTTTGGCATTAGGATAACCTTAGAACCAGACAAACAGAAATACCACAAAATATGGACTAATCTAGCGGTTCTCGACGTGGGTGGTACTGCCCCCCAGGGGGCGTTCAGAGGACGGCAGGGGGCGCTGGCGGAAATCTTTACAAAAGGGG